GTCGATCAGAGATCAGTGTGTCGGTCAGAGGTCAGTGTGTCGATCAGAGGTCAGAGTGTGTCGATCAGAGGTCAGAGTGTCGATCAGAGGTCAGAGTGTGTCGATCAGAGGTCAGAGTGTCGATCAGAGGTCAGAGTGTGTCGATCAGAGGTCAGAGTGTCGATCAGAGGTCAGAGTGTGTCGATCAGAGGTCAGAGTGTCGATCAGAGGTCAGAGGTCAGAGTGTGTCGGTCAGAGGTCAGAGTGTCGCTCAGAGGTCAGAGGATCGATCAGAGGTCAGAGTGTCGATCAGAGGTCAGAGTGTCGATCAGAGGTCAGAGAGGTCAGAGTGTCGGTCAGAGGTCAGCGTGTCGGTCAGAGGTCAGTGTGTCGGTCAGAGGTCAGTGTGTCGGTCAGAGGTCAGAGTGTCGATCAGAGGTCAGTGTGTTGTGATGACTGACCTCAGCGTGGAACTGGACGGCTTTACTGTCACACATCTGCAGCTGAGAGGTGAGCTCTGACACGCGGCTCATGTAATGATGCTTGATCAGATGTTCACGAGAATCCTGATCTGCAGCCTACGGCACACAAACATCAACACCTCATGATTCATATTCATACAGCAGGAGTGAGTGTGCAGATACAGTTAATGAACATGAATACATACGCTCTCGCTGCAGGGAGTGATGGTCAGCATCCCGATCTGACAATACAGACACATCATTACACATTGCAGACAGAATAAACATTTCAATAAAGCATTTACTTTACATCCAGTAATATTTGATAACAGATAATATAACATGTACTGCACAACCTGGTTTTAAACACAGTTCAGTTCACATTACTACTACTAGTTTTTGACACCTGCAACAAGGAAACAAGACACATGAACTCTGTGACACACATAGGAAATATGAAAGATTTTAAATGAAATTGAACTGAGCTGAACACAGACTCCAGTGTTTTGATTGGTCTTGAGTGGATTCCCCACTAACTCAAACTCCTCTGATTGGCTACTGCGTTCAAGAGCTCATGTCTGTGATTGGCTGTGACTGCAAACAAAGTTTCTTCAAAGCGCAAACACAATACACTGTGATGAACTCCACTGGAAAGGTGTTTGTCCTTTGAATTAGGGATAGGAGAGCTCATACGGCTGTTTGGCTAGGTTTAAAGGAACAGAGCACTTTTAGATAAACAAGGCGATAATACATACTCGTGGAGGTAATAAAACAGAGTTCTTTATGAACGGCAGGATTGCTTGTAATAAAGATTTCAATGCAAAAGAAAAGGCAGTAGAGCTGACTAGTTCTGTCAATGGTAAGTTTGTGATAACGTAAGAAAAGTAGTTTAAATGTTTTGCCACTTGCTCGAGCAACTTAATATATAAATCTAGAAGTAAATGCAAAAGTAAAAAGCATTGAATAATGTGTTGCTTATATTTATTGTGTTTAAACATGTCTGTGAAAGATTGTATTACTGTACTGTGTAAAAAAACAATCACAATGCTAAAAAAGCATTTTCAGTGACAATGTTTGGATTTGAAATCAGAATTCTGGATGAATGTTGTGTTTGTGGTAAACAGCCCTGGATCAGCAGCGGTCTCCTGTGTGAAAGCTGCTTCTGCACCACACAGACTTTACTTGGCCGGGCCACCCAGGTATATATGGAGAAACATTTGTGCTTTTATTATTTTTATTCTCATACTTTTTTATCCGCCCAAAATAATGAAACCCTCCGCGATCGATTAACTAGTGGAAAACCTCCCCTCGCCCTGCACGTTTGGTATCTGCTGGTTCTGTGTGCGCGAGAACCGTTTCCTCCCGCTGACGTTCCCTCGTGCGCTGCAGAGACGCGGCAGATATTTCACAAACACAGGGCTCGACAGTGCGGGCGCTTCAGACGCAAATAAAAATAGAGGTGTGCGAACTGTAAAATGTATTTAAGGAGCACGTGTGCGAATAAAGCAAAATCCCTCTGGGTGAGTTTTCTTAAATTTAATGTCATAAAAAGTCTTCAATACATGAAATGGTAAAACTAACGTTTTCATCATTTTAAGTCGTCTTATATTTTGGGGATGGAAGTGTCTCAACAGCGCTTCAGACTGCTTCAAAGTGATTCTCAGGCAATGAATAGTGCACATTTATGCCAAGCGATTTCTTATGAACTCGAGTTGATGAATTATGACAATGTCTACTTTATGGCCTTTATATAATGTTTTAGACGGTTGTAAGAATGCATATTTTATCTATCATCTGAAGAATCATCCCGCAATAGTATAGATATTTCAAAATAAGAGTCCCGCTGTATTTCGGGCTTGTTTACATGTAGACCATTTTTGTGCCGTGGGTAATAGTAGGATTTTCCACCCAGCTACCTTTCAAACCTGTGGGAAGCACTGATACAGCTCACCAAATCAGGCTTGTGCTGTGTGTGTAAGCTATTGTGCAACAATTACACGATTGTCAAAACAAAAATGCACTGCATGATCAAACATTTAGGTAAGATACATATATATTGGAGTTATTCATTCAACTGATTGAGTGTGTTATCACGCTGCTATCTTAAGGACTTTCGTGGACAGCTGACTCCTAAAGTTTTTGATATTCTTCATATTCTGTGTGGTGGTCAGATAAGTTTAAATAGATTTTTACCTTTTATGGGCATTTTACCTTTATAAAGCCATTTTAATTAAATCAGTATCAACAAAATTCATCTTTGCAATCCAGACATAAGCTGCACCTGAAGTGGCATTCAGAAGTATTAACACACTGTTTAATGCAGGACATGAATGCATTTAACCTGCAGTACAAATGCATAAATAATGTTTTGATATATTAAACATAAAACATTGAATACTGATATTTGAAAATTAAAAAATGATTAAGACTTTTTAAGGCCTTATTTTAGGAAAACGTTATTTAAGACATTTTAAGACTTTTTAAGGACCTGCGGACATAAAAGTGGCGATTAAATTCATTGAGTAGATTCCTTAGCGCAGTTTAATCTATAAATGACTCAATGATTAATTGTAAATTATCCGTACACTACCAGACTGCACAGCTCTTCAAAAATGAAAGCATCAGAACACACAGGAGTGTGGGAGAGCTGAGACATGAATGTGTGTGTGTCACTCACAACGCTGCTGTCCTGAAGGGGCTCTGGAGCGTCAGCACACTCGGGATCAGGGCCGTCTGCAGCGCTGTGTGTCTCTGCTGGACCTCCGGTAGTGATCTGAGCCTCCAGCTGAGCGATGCGCTGAGTCTCCTTCTGCAGACGCACCTGCCCCAGCTGAGCCTCCAGCAGCCAGTGCTCCTTCTCCTGCTCCAGACGAGAGATCTTCTCCTGACTCTGAGCCACCTGACGAGCACACGCACCATCAGGCAGACAGACAGACAGAAAGACAGTCAGACAGAGAGACGGACAGACAGAGAGATGGACTTGACAGAGAGACAGAGAGAAACACAGAGACACAGACAGACAGACAGACACAGAGAGAGACAGACAGAGACACACACACACACAGAGAGAGAGACATACAGACAGAGAGACAGAGAGAAACAGAGACACAGACAGACAGATAGAGACACAGAGACAGTCAGACAGAGAGACAGAGAGAAACAGACACAGA